ACAGCAGAGACTAGTCCAAGGGTGGGGGAAAAAAAAAAAAAAAAAACAGAAAAAGGAAGAAGGGGAGCAGTTCATATGTAGGAGAAAGGAAAATTAAAGAACTTTCCAACTGAAAATCAGTCTTGTACAGAATACCAAATGACAAGTTGAATTTTTTAAGTTGTACACTCCTTCCCTAGCTCTCATTATGAACTCTTTTAATACATAGAGAAATATTGTCATGTGAGTTGTTTGTTTAAAGATTCTTCTAAAAATATTTTTAGGTATAAACTTATTAGTCATTTTCATGTTTCTGAAGAACCAAAGAAAGTTGATACTTTTATGTAAAGTCTAATTCTTGAATATCTATTATATGTTCTGTATGGTGAAGCTAATCTATAGTAAACATTGCTTTTAAATTCTTATTTATATTAAGTTTTCCCACTAATAACTCTGTTCACTCAAGTTTTATTAGGAATAACTCTGTTCTCTCAAGTTTTATTAGGTTTTCAATTGATTAGACTCTTTCTTGATATTGTCGAAGGAAGTTGGCTACCTGCCTAGCAAGGTCTCACAGAGAGCTAGACCTCTGTGGGTCAGGATAAGTGCCTGTAGTGCTTTGCAGGTTCATAAATGTTATCAGTTCCTCAGCATTAAAGTTCTAGTAACTACCTCACAAATACTCATTTATAAACACAAATATAAATGTATTATGTCGCTATAAGAGACAAGTAAAAGTCCTGATGAGTTAATATTTAGCAAGAGGCAATTTTACAGCAGGTACTACTGTCCAGTTTTTTCCCATTATCTCATTTAATCCTCATAAAAATTCTATAAGAGATGCTACCATCCCTATTCTGCAGATGGAGAACTAAGGTTCTGAAAGATAATATACTCGAGGCCATACATGGCTAATATACAGAGGAGTCACAATTTGAATTCTTATCTAATTAACCAAATTATATGTTAGAAGATTGCTAGCTAATTGTAACTTTAGAATATGGAATGAATATTAAATGACGCAGTGTCTACTTCTTGTCCCCAAATCAGTAAATATTTGATGATTAAATAAAATTAACTGGAGTAAGAAATATGGATTAATTGCCCTCCATTTCAAGTTATATTTATGTGGATAACTGGTACTCACCATTAAAATTGTAGCACCTCATCTTTTCACCACAGTTAGATAAATATAGACAATTTTTTGCTCTTTTGGTCTACTTGTTCTAGAGTTCACATATACCTCTCATTCTTTTAACAAATCATTATTTCAGAGAGTTACATCATAGTGAAGTTTATTAGATTAAATCACTCTTGACATTTATTTTTGTGGTAATCTGGTCTGCAGGATACACGTAAGGTTAAGAAATCAAGTCTCTTAATTTGACTGGATCATCAAAATTTGCATACAAAATATGGTTATGTGTTTCATATACCTTATACACATAGACCGAAAGTAATTTTATACTATATTTTTGTATTGCAGCAATTTGACTGAGACCCATCCCATGAAGTCAGGTGTGGAATTTTCCACTTTTGGCATCATGTTGGTACTCAAAAATTTTTGGCTTTTACAGCATTTTGGTTTTCAGATTTTTGAAATAGGGAATGCTCAGTCTGTATCTCAATTGAGAGTATTTTCTGTTCCTCAACAGGAGTTGGAAAAAGAAAGTCTGTTAGATAACTACATTTATGTATTCTAGATTAAGTGTGAACTAAGAAAAGAAATTTGTAGCCAGTGAGAGCTGGGTGGAAGTTGCAAAAAAAAAAAAAAAAAAAAGAACATTTGTATACCCAGAGAAATAATAGGTTGCATACCTAATTTGGGAGAAATTCATCCTTTTCAGGCTATCTCTATAATCAAAAGAATAGCTTATAGTTAAAAAGCACTTTTTATATATAATCTTCACAATAGTAAAATAGGCTTTCTTATTTCTATTTTACAAATGAAGAAACTGAAATTTCAGTGGTCACACAGAATGTCATCTGATTCTTTTCTGTGCTCTCTTTATTCCATGTTTTTATGTCACTCAAATAGTTGTTCCTTCAACATCTGTCCAGAAATCTGTTCAAGAATTTAGTCAACATTCTATTCTATTTTATGTAGTTTCGTTTGTTATGTAATGACATACATAAAATGCATTACTGAAGTTATCACATAAAAATCACAGTGCTGATTTATCAGTTTGTTAGAAATTATGCTTATGTAACTTTCCTGGTAGGAAGTGGTAATAAAAATGCAAAATGGTGTCACATATTATGAATCAAGTATTATGCTAATACTGGAAGATGTTTTTATAAAAATTACAGTTATGCAGACATATCTATTTCACCATTGCACAAGAAATTCTCTGGAATTTTTCTGAATGGTACAAGCAATGATACTGACTATATGACTAACTGTTTTCTTTAACCCCAACAGGGAAACACTGGCCCCCTAGGCAGAGAAGGTATAATAGGCCCAACAGGTAGAATTGTAAGTTTGTTTCGATACAGTCTTTTTTCTTTCTTTTTAAAAAAATGTTCTTCTTTTTTCTTTAATTCTATTTCTAGAATAATTTACAAAGAATCAATATGGATATTTCAGAAGCAAAGGGCAAAAATAGATACACATTTTCTTTCAGAAGTTGATTCCTGAGCACTTACAGTTAAATAAGTAATGGAAAAGGTGCAAATAGTGAGATAAACACTTAAACTAGAGTTGAAAAAAAGAAAATAAAAGTGAATCGAGAAACTAGAGATGAAAAAAGCAGACAGAAGTGATTCAAGGAGCAAGGAGTATCATAAGCATAGATATGATCACTATGGCAATAAAAATGAATCCATTTTCTCAAAAAGAATGTGGATAGCAAGAGAAATCAAACAGCCAAGATTTGAGTCTTGGAAGTGCTCATGATGAAGGAAATAAATAGTTGGTGGGAATCACTTAAAAAAAAAAGTCAAGAAAGTACAAGGTTAGATAGATGAGAGTTTTAAGAAAGAAATGAACAGTGATCTTTGAGAAAAAAAGTTACAGTAGAAGCTGAAGTATGGGTTACAGTAAAGAAGTAGATGAAAGTATTTAGTAATAGTTTTAGTAATAGTTTCCCTCAAATTCTTAGAGTAAACTTTTAGAGTAGATATTATTTCTATTTAGTAGATGAGAATACAGATAAGGTTTATAGAGGCCCACTTAGGCATTCAAGGCTCTAAAGCTAGTGAACTATACAGGTGCTGTTTCTTACTTGAAGACCAGTGATCTTTCCATCCCATTCAAGCTAGGTCTGGAGAGGAAATTAAGACCATATTTACTAGTGCTTTAAGATATTTGGCTATTGCTTTTTTTATAAGCAGCCTGAAATGATCTTTGAAAATGGTTTGCTATTCACTTGACCCAGAGATCCCCACAAAGTCATGCAAATCAACAGTTCAAACCATGGTGTTCACTTTAAGAACACCCATGAAACTGCCCAGGCCATCAAGGGTATGTGTATTCTAAAAGCCACCAAGGGGCTGAAAGATGTCGCTTTACAAAGCAGCCTGTACCATTTTGTTATTACAGTGGTGGAGTTGGTAAATGTGCCCAGGCCAAAGAGACACAGGGTTGGTGGCCCAAAAACAATGCTGAATTTTTGCCGCACATGTTTTAAAATGCAAAAAAATAATGCTAAACTTAAGGGTTTCGATGTAGACTCTGGTCATTGATAATATTCAGGTGACAAAGCACCCAAGATGCGCCATTGTACATGAAGAGCTCACACGCAAATTCACCCATACCTGAGCTCCCCCACCACATAGAGATGATCCTCACTGAAAAGGAGCAAATTGTTCCTAAACCAGAAGAGGAGGCTGCACAGAAAAAAAAGATATCCCAGAAGAAACTGAAGAAACAAAGGCTCATGACATGGGAATAAAGTCAGCATAAAATAAAGTCAGATAAAAGCAAAAAAAAAAAAAAAAGAAAAAAAGAAATTTGGCTATTAAATAAAACAGAGAAATAAGAGAATGATTGGAAAGATGGTCATGGGAAAGTTTTACAATATTGATAATAGTATAAATGAATAAGAGAAGCAGCACAGTATAAGGGTCAAATTGAGGCTTGAAGAAAAATAATCCATTCTCTGCAGGGAATCAATATTTTGAATCATCTGAAAAGTATTATGTATAGATACATAGACTTTAAAAATATAAAAAATGGGGACCAGCAGTTGACGTAATGGCTATGTAGCTGGACTCCCATGTAGTCAACCACAGTTTGAGTCCCAGACCTGGTGGCTTAAACTCACCCAGGCGCATATGCGTGTGTGCCCAAGGGGAGAATGGAGGAGAAAGGATTGCAGCCCGGTCATCCCCCCAGGGAGTGATTTCTTGCTTTCTGTTTCTGTCTTTTTGTCTTTCTGGCGAGCTCATGCGCCCTATAGCTAAAACCTCTCCGAAAAAATGAAATAAAAAATGGAAAGTATCACTTAGTAAGTGTGACTATTCTCTTTGATGAATTTAGACCACCAAAGTTATTGGATTTTTAATAAAATAAATAAATGTATAACTCAGCATTTCTATATACTTTCAGCATTTGCCACTCAGAGTTATATAGAATTGCTAAGTGGGAGAACTCTCATAGTTCAGTGGGTGGTTCTTCAACAAGCTGAGGGAAATTTACTGTTCTGATTATACAATGATTGTTCTCCTCTGACAAAAATGTGAAATATTAATTGGTCAAGGAAAATGTGATAAAGAAATGGTCCAATTAAAATATCTTACTGTGTATTATTTCTAGATTGTTCTTGTACGCTCTTATAATATTCAGCATGCACATCAGATTTTTTCCATTCTAAGAAGAAAAGCTCACAATGAAAGAATAAACATTTGAAAATGGCAAAATCATTGTGGAAAAAAAAAAGCGATGGATTGTATGGGGCTTGCATTTTTGAAAAAGTAAACAATATTAAAAATTCATTATAAATACCACTATGGTAGTACAAAGAAATAAATGATTTTTACACAAATGAATAAATTTTTTTAAAAATTAAAGAGACATTGGATTTGGTTCCCAGGTAGATTTGAGCATGCCAGGTGCACATGTGGGTTTGCCCTGATCCTGGCTGGCTGGAAGGCAAGAGGCATCAAGGCATAGTTCATCCCTTGTCAGGGATCTCTTTAGCTCTCTCATGAAAGAAAAAATAAATGAATAAACTTTAAACAGATCAGTGCAACAGAATAGCACCCAAAATTAAATATAAGAATTTACAGAAATTTAATAATAACAAAAATTGGGGGGCTAGAGAGTGGCACAGTATAAACCATAATACTCTTCAAGGCAGCCCCACATGGAAAGATTCCTTTTTCAAGTCCAGAGACCTCCCTGAGTTTGCCAGGAACATCCTTGTCCATGATCTGAAGCAGACTGAAGACTGGGGCGGATCATGGTATTAAGATCCTGTTGGGGGGGACCAGCAGTTAGCGTAATGGCTATGTCACTGAACTCCCATGTAGTTGACCACGGTTCAAGTCCCGGACCCAGTGGCTTATACTTATGCCGGGTGCGTGTGCATCCATGCCCAAGATCCTGAGAGGAGAATGGAGGAGAAGGGATTGTGGCATGGCCATCCCCCTTGGGGGGTGTTTTCTCGCTTTCTGTCTCTCTGTCTCTCTCTGGTGAGCGCACGTACCCTATAGCAAAGCCTTTCCAAAAAAATAAAAAGACCCTGTTAGAGATACTGTCTTTCTCTCTCTCCCCTTTTATCATGTAAAAAATATATATATACTTTTAAAATGTTGTATCAGGATGATTGTTTGGTTGCAAATAATAAAGAGGGAATCAAATTTGCTATTACAGTAAGGAAAACTATATTACATTATAGAGAGTTTAGAGGTAGAGGGGCCAGCAGATGGCATGGTGGTTAAAGGGCAGGACACTCCCACATGGCTAACTATGGTTCAAGCATGAACCCTAGCATCTTGCTTTCTTATTTTCACTCTCTCTCTTTCTCTATCGCTGGTGAATTAAAAAAATAATAATAAATAAATAAAATTAAATAATTAGTTCTTTTAAAAAAAAAAAAAAGGAAGTCCATAGATAGAAAGGATTCATATTTGGTCAAATTGGTGATTCAATTTATTTTGCCATTGTTTTCTGAATGAACCAAGTAAAGTTTTTGTTGGAAAATAAATAAATAAAACTAAACATTTCTAAATAGTTCATTAATCAAAAAAGTCTCAAAAAAGTCAGAAAAGATTTTGAACTGAGTGAAAATGTATACAACAAATAAAATGTATGGAATGTAGCTCAAATGAGAGGAACAGAAAAAAATGAAAGAGATGGAGGAAACCATTCTAGAAACAGATTTTTTAAGACTGAGGGAAACAAAATTAGAAGTTAGTATATGATTTTCAGATCAGCTGGTTTGACTTAAGTTAGTAAGTAGCTTGTTATTTGAGTCTCACTTGAAGGTAGAACTAGGGATAGCAAAACAAACAGCATGGTGCATCAACAGGCATTGGTTTTATTTTGCTGTCTTAGAAAAAGAAAAAGAGAATTTATATAAGTTAACAAAGTCTTACAAGACAAAAGAGACATAAATTGTTGTGTTTCTCTGTACAACCTCAACTACATTTAATAGATAACTATCAATAACATTGAACTAACCTCTTTTTTCCCCCCTTTTAGGGACCCAGAGGTGAAAAAGGCTTTAGAGGTGAACCTGTAAGTTTATGTAAATTTGTGATTATAATATTCCTTGTCAATAGTGTATAAAATCTACGAAGGCGAGGACTTTATTAGAGTTGTTCATTAGTGTGTCTCTGATATTCGTGGAATAAAAATTCATCATAAGCTATAAAAATAAAGTTACGCTTGTCAGGAAGTAGAATTACTCTAAGAGGTATATTACAGTCAAATTTGATAAGCCCCAAACCTACTTAAGAACATGCAGTCGAGTTCTTCCCAGCTCACCGTGCGAAATGTCAGGCGTCAGGAGAGGAGGCGTGGGTCGTCTTCATGAGAGCAGGAAGGAGAGCCCTGCCGCACTGTCTAGGTGCGCGCCCACTATGTCCCGTCAGTACCAAGATGGCCAAGCAGAAGGAAGTCATATTTCAGCCAACTGGAAACAGTGATAAGGGGTTAGGCAAAAGGTACATAGCACTTTCAGGACCTAGTGGCTTATTTTACACTATTTCTCACATTTCTAGAATATCAATACTTCCAAATTTAAAAAAAAAAAATTTTTTGTGAAGGAGCCAATTTCCTAACAGATTCTGCTAAGCTAAATTTTCTTAATAATTGTTATTGTGTATATTTAAGGTCTACAACATGATGTTATGGAATACATATAAATAGCAAAAGATTACAATGGTGAAGCAAATGAACATACCATCATCTTACATAGTTACCCACTCTACCCCATTTTTGTGTGTGGTAAGAGCAGCTAAAATCTCATTTAGTGTCGGATTTATACTGAACTCATGAAAGCAGGAGCCATAGACAGAGGATAGGCACAAGTCAAATGAGCAAGAGTGAAGCTAAGTACAGAAGGTCAAAGAGAATAAACAAAGATAGCAATAAAGTCTTGATTAATAGGTAATGATATTATGAAGCCGGCCCTGTAGCCTAGTGCATAAAGGAGCCAGCTCCCACGTGACCAACTATTATTTGAGTCCTGGCTTGGCTTCAGTGGCTTGAAAAACAAACTAAGTGCATGTGAGTGCATGCCTTAAAGCCTGGGAAACTGGAGAAATTAAGAAAAAGGGATTACAGTATACCCATACCCCATTTGGGATGGGGAGGGGGGTAGGAATGGGGGGGTGGAATGTTCTACTTCCACCCTGACTTTCTCTCTGGCCAGCACACATGCCTTCAGGCAATTTAAAAAAGAAAAAAGGGAGTGAGATTACATGTTGACAACTGAGTATTTTGCTTCTCACCATGGGCTATGCTTGGAACTTAGAAGAAGAAAGTTGCAGTATATTAATTAGCTGGACAATCACATGATTTCAGATAGTCTAAGAATCCCAAAACAAAATTAAAATAGTTATGTTCAGTTTGCAGAAATGTGGCCCTCACCTTTTCAGTAGACTTTCTGTAACAGGAATAAAGAACATGCACACAGTGAAGCCATCACGCCCAGGAAGAATGGGAAGGGAAAGGGGAAAAAAGGAAAAAAGGGGAGGCTTGAAATTGGCCCATTTCCCACCTCTCTGGCTCTGCATGCCTTCCTCCAGTTTTCCTCTCCAAATACTGAGGCTAGAACATAAACTTTCATCAGGACTCAGAAACTTCAGTCCTTATGACAGTGTCACGAGCATTTCAAGTGGGGGTATAAAAAAAAAAAAAAAAAACCTTTAAGTGGTTCTGATGGATTACAAACTCAGTGGATTATGACTACAGCGTCAGATTGTAGTCATGGAAATACAGCTAACCAGAATAAAGCGGGTGGCCCGTCAAGCCATCCCCAAAGAGAAACATGCACAACAATAAAGCACATTCAGAAAAGGGCATTTTTAGATTACCAGAGGATCTGGGACCCAGATCCTGACAAGATCAGTTAAAATGTCTGGCGTATTTAGCCTCTGTCAGACCCTGCAGCTGAAGCACCTCCCTCTCCTTGTTCTTCTTACTCGCTCCTCACTTCCTGGCATTTGCACCTACTGTTTCTCTACCACAGTCTTTATGGTTCTAGTTCCTACTCATCGTGAGGTTTTGACTTAAAGTTTACTTGTTCAGAGTAGACTTGACATTTCCATCTCGTCCCCTCCTGCCCCTGCACATAATACCCTGCGCGCGGGGCCCAGAACAGTGCCTGGCATCTGTTCTTTACTTAAATGTGCTCTTATCAAAGAGGCTTTTCCTGACTAGCTTACATGAAATAGCAATGCCCCCACTCCCCTGAGACCCTTGATCTTTCTTAACCTGTATCCTTCCCACCTGACATATTGCATATTTATTTGGATTTATGTTTCTTACATCTCCCCTCACTAGAACAAAGGCTCCATGACACAAACATTTTATCTATTGTGGTTACTACTATTTTAATGCTGTCTGCCCAACACCATACTGCACCAGTCTTATAGCTGGCATTTAAATAATATTTAATAAGTTATTGGTAAACAAATTAGAGAAGATTTGGGATATGAGTGACATGATGGCTGTCTTCAGATATTTGAAAGTTTTTTTTTTATTATGGAAAAGAGGATGGATATGATTAATTATAGGGGATAAAATTTAAATATTTTACTTATTGAATTCAGTTTCTGTGCTCAATGAGGCATGAAATATATTTGATACCACCTAATCCTTAGCCTGTCAAAAAGCCGGCACATAATTAGCACACAGTAAGTGCATATTTATCAAATGAAGGGAATACTGTGACTGACTTCAGCTCAGTCTAATAACAAGCTGTCTAATGTAATGAGCTACTGCGTGAAATAGTTTTTCAAAATAGTAAGCACCTGTTACTAAAAACCTAATGACCCTCTCTCTGAATTACTGGGCCAGAATTCATGCAATGGGTAGAGAATTAGAGGAGATTCTATCACAGGCCCTACCAGATCTGAGTGTCGGTAATTCTACATAAAAATAAATAAATAAATAAATAGGGGCCAGCAGGTGGCATGGTGGTTTAGGCTCTGGCCTCCCACATGGCTGACCACGATTTGAGTCCCAAACTGGCAGTTTACCTTTTCACTTTACTCCTCTCTTGTCAAATCAAAATAAATAAATAAATAAAATTAAATCGAAAGATTTAAAAAGCTTAAAATTTTTCTAAAAATAAAGAATAAACCCCCTGCAAAAGAACTATCAATAATAAAGGCATAGACTATAAAAAAAGAGTTCTTTAAAATAGAAGTGAATTCCCATCAGCTCTAAGTGTAATAATAGTATTCCGAATCCATGACTTCTCTCAGCCTTCTTCATGATCATTCTTTATCGCAGGTCCTCTGGTGCAGATTATCATATTTCCCTTGGACTCTAATCTTTTCAGTGCTTTTACTTTATCCACTAGAGTTCACTCTCCATACCAGCAATGAGCATGATCTTGTTCAAGGATACATAAAGGTTTTAAAACCTCCTAGTACCCTAAGGTCTGAACTTCTTACCTTGATTTCTAAGGCCCTCCATGAACTAGCTCATTTGCCTCTCCAGTCACATGATGTACCGCTTTCCCTATGCCATCTATACAGCCTTTCTGTTCTTTAAAATATGCCTTCCTTTTACTTGTTAAATTTTCGTACCTACGCTTCAGATGGCAGGTTTTGTCTCAATACAGATCTCAGCTCACATATCTTAGAAAACCTTCCCCTAGCCACTGGATCTTATTACTCTTGGTCATTCTCTTTCACAATATTCTGCTTTGTTTTCTTTGTATCATTTAGCACTATCTGAAATTGTTTTCTGTCTCTGCTAAAATGTAAACATCTTCAAAGCAGGAAACTTTGTCTGGTACATTGGTTATTAGTGTCTAGAACAGTATCTACCATGTTGTAGGTAATGCTTAAAAATCAATTATAAATAAATAAATACCATTCCCTAAAATTAAAAATTAAAAGTTATTTCCAAATCTAGCCTGTTAAACAGCATTTCCTGAACCAACATACTTACTGGTCTTTTGTTCTCTAGGTGACCATAGTTCTCTTCATAAGTAAGAGCAATTCTTAGTATCCAAGTAAGAGGATGAATTGACACAATGGTGTTTAGTGTGAGCAATTCACTTAGCTGCTGAAAAAGGATTAACTGGCACATTAGATTTATGAGATTATTCTGCTTTTATTGTTTAATAACTGGCACTAAAGATCCTTTTATCACCTCTTTCCTTTTGATTCCATTATAGTGGAAGGAGCTATATAAAGGTAATTTTTTAATTGCTAGAAATCATTCTGCAATGACCTTAATATCCACAAAATGTGTCATTAAACCTTTTGTCCTGTCTATGGAAAAGCTTGGCAACATCCCTTTTTTGTTTGTTTGTTTGTTTGTTTTTCGTTTTTTAGTTTTGCTATAGGACATGTGTTTGCAGGAGAGAGATGTGGGGGTAGGGGAGTGAGAAATCATTCTCCAGGGGGATGACCACAACACAGTCCCTTTCCCTCCAATCTCTTACTGGGATTTTTGGCACCCATGCTCATGCTCAGACATATTTTTCAAACTGCCAAGTCTAGTACACAAATTCACAGTCAGCCATGTGGTATCTAGCCACCTTAACCACCATGCCACTATCTGGACCAAAAATGTCTCTTAAATTTTTATTAGGACAGTTTCAGTACATCCTACAGGTTTAGTTTGTTTATTTTTGGTTTTGTTTATTTTTGACAGGTTCTTACCATGTCTCAATTCTCTGCCTCAGCCTCTTAGCTACTGTTACAGGCCCATGGACCTATACTCCCCCTGTTTAGGTTGGTCCAGTAATTGAACCTGGCCTACCTATTTAGCTATAGACTCATGCCACTGCAGCTGGGCTAGATTTTTTTTTTTCTTTAAAAGGATGGTTTAAATAATTGAGTGGCTAAGACTTCTAATTGGTTACTGTGTTTCAGAGTATAATATCCTCATGGAGATTAGCCTCAGAAAATATCAATAAATGGAACATTTTTGGAAATGAATGTTATTAGCTAAGATCTATTATATTGAAACAAATAAGGCATTTAACTTATTATATAAAGATCAGATTCACAACAATCTATTAAACTTTCTCAGTCTCATTTTTAAAGCTA